GAGATAGTGCCAAGAACAAGTTGTTCCATCACCTTTCCAGGGACGGAGGTGAGGCTGACCGGTCTATAGTTACCCAGGTCCTCCTTCTTGTAGACTGGTGTGACATTTGCTGTCCTCCAGTCCTCAGGCACCTCACCTGTTGCCCATGACTTACCAAAGATGATGGAGAGTGGCCCAGCAATGACCTCCACCAGCTCCCTCAGCACCCTTGGGTGCATTCCAACCAGACCCATTGATTTATAGATGTCCAGGTTACTCAGCTGATCCCTAACCCAATCCTCACCTACCATGGCAAACTCCTCCTTGATCTTGACTTCTTCTGGGGCTTTAGGAATCTTTTGGTGCAGGCCAGGATGTAACTGGGCCAAACTTGGACTCTGGCCTTGCTATGAACAGAGTGCTTGCTCAGATGTTCTCCAGCACTCCCCACCGAGTTAACCCAGGATTTTACTTCCCAAAAATCAGCCCCAACCCAACTCCCACATTCCCCCAATTTCCTCTGTTCCCCAGACCTCTGTGCACATGTGGCTGTGCAGAAGGTGGGTACCCAGGCAGCAGAGCAGCTTGACCTTTAAGGAAGCTCCCAGTGAAGAATTCATCCTGACATGTCACTGACCACCAAGGGAAAAGGGAGCAGAAACACAAGAACCTCAGAGCATTTAAAAAGAAACCTGAATGAAAGTGGGAGGTGATGTAACAGAAGAGAATGCTGCTTATATTCAAGGATTTAAATCACTTTTGAAACATCCAACTGGCTTTCAGAAGCTCATAATGAAGGGGAAGAGATGACAGATGCCCTCAGCTGCCAAAGGAGATCAGATCAGCTTTTGATCTCTGCACACACACAGGCCAGTTCTTCAGCATCCTGCTCTTGTTTTGGTGTGTGTAGTTTGAAATCCAACTTGTGTAACACTTCCTGCAAAGCAGCACTGAAATATCTGACTGCTGAGGTTCAGAGACCTTCCAAATCCCTGTCAAGCAGGACTCAACACCCTCAACTTGGCAAGGACGTGGCAAAAAGATGTTCAGACTTCACTGGGTATTTCTTTGGGTGGTGACAACAAGAAGCAGAAATCCCAGAGGAAAACTCTACAGTGACTCCCAAGTTCCTGCCTCTGTGTTTTCTGCAGCAAAAAGAAGCAGCCAGCCTGAATAACCTCCCAGCAGCCTGCTTCAAAAGCCTTGCCAGCCTTGGGACCCTCACATTTCAGTCTTCTTTGGAGCCCTGCTTTCCTGGGAAAGAAGCTGAGGCAGCTCAGGTGCACCCAAGTCAGGCAGCAGCTCTTGGCTGCACCCTGCACCTCAGCTCCTGCACCCAGAGCCCTGGGAACAAGCACCTCCCAACTAGTTACTAGCCAGTTTTCTTTCAGAGCCAGTGGCAAAAGGGCATTACCCTCTCCAGTTCAGCTCACTGGGAAACCAGTGACTGTCCTCTGACACCAAGAGGAGCAGTACAGGCTGTCCACCAGTCACAGCAGGCATTGGGTCAGGGGACCACAGGAACACCACGGGCTTGGGGCCCCCCAGAGAGTGGCTGTCCCTGGCCAATCACCATAGAATGGTTTGGGTGGGAAGGACCTTAGAGATTACCTGGATCCACCCCCCCTGCATGGCCAGGGACACCTCCCACCAGCCCAGGTTGCTCCAAGCCCCATCCAACCTGCCCTTCAACACTGCCAGGGATGGGGCAGCCACAGCTTCCCTGGGCAACCTGGGCCAGGCTCTCACCACCCTCACACTCCACAATTCCCTCCTCATGTCTCACCTCAATCTCCCTCTTCCAGTTTTAATCCCTTCTCCCTTGTCCTCTCCCTCCCTGCCCTTGTCCCAAGTCCCTCCCCAGCTTTCCTGGAGCCCCTTCAGGCACTGGAAGGTGCTCTAAGGTCGCCCTGGAGCCTTCTCTTCTCCAGGCTGAACACGCCAACTCTCCCAGCCTGGCTCCAGAGAAGAGATGAGCTACTTAACCCTTTCAGAAGGTCACAAGCCAGTTACTAACAGTTCTCCCAACTCTGAGCTCCCAGAGCTGCTGCCAGCCATGCAGCAGCCCCAGGGCAGCCAAGCTGCCTTCCTCCCTCAGCTCCTCCAGCCCATCAGGCTCAGTCCTGCTAGATCCACCCTGCAGAGCCAGGCTCTGCTGCGGAGCATCCTGCTCCCAACACCACCAGCAACTACAACCCCCTCATGTCCTGCCCCTTTCCAGCTACCTCTGCAATACAGCAAGTTCAGAGGCTCCAGGTTCTGTCCCTGCTCACCCAGTGTGCCCTTGCACAGCAGTGCCTGGCACTGGGGCTGCTTTACCTCCGGGTGCTGATGCAGTACCGGGCTTCCCGGGTACCCACGTTGCGAACCAGCAGAGTTTTCTGGCTGCTGTACTTGACTGGGCAGCTGGAGAAGCTGAGATGGTCAGGGAAGTCCAGGAGAGCTCGGGGCCCTATAGCTCGGATGGGCACAATGAACTTCTCCCTCTCTGTGATGCAGGTGAGCTGGTGGGAATAATCCTGCAGGGCAAAGAACCACAGCTCAGCGTGGCGCGGGAAATCCCAGCCCGTTGGGGGAGGAAAAACTGCTGCTTCCTCCACCTTGCACAGCACTGTTCCATAATGTAGGAGCACTTTTTTTACCTCCAGGACCTTTTATTCCAGGAATTGGGCAGGGCTCTTCACTTGCAGAGAAGGAACAAGCCCACGGACTCACCTGCTCTTGCAGCAGAGCCCAAGTGAGCTGAGACTTGGATGCTGAGGCACCAAACTGGGAGTCATTTTGGGTAAGGAACTGCAGCAGCAACAGACCCTGCTCTGATCACCCCTGCAGACTATGAAAGGCCCCACTGAGGACCCAGCTGTGTCACAGCACTGACCCCCAAAACCAGCAGCACAGCTTGGCAGGGGATGCTCAGGTCCATTTTCCAACTGCCTTTGGACACATCCCATTCACAGCCAGGATTTTAGGAAACACTTCACAGGCTGGACACACTAATTGTTTTCATGTCAGGTGGGTGTTACCTTTGTACTCCCCCCCCCCTTCCCAAAGCATCCTAAGGACAAGGTTGGGGACACACACCCCTTGAAGAAAAGCTGCCTGATCCACCCCCCCAGCCCAGAATTGGCACAACTCCCTACCCAGGTTTGGAGAAAAGACTCCAGGGAGACCTTAGAGCACCTTCCAGTGCCTGAAGGGGCTCCAGGAAAGCTGGGGAGGGACTTGGGACAAGGGCAGGGAGGGAGAGGACAAGGGGGAAGGGATTAAAACTGGAAGAGGGAGATTGAGGTGAGACATGAGGAGGGAATTGTTTGGTGTGAGGGTGGTGAGAGCCTGGCCCAGGTTGCCCAGGGAAGCTGTGGCTGCCCCATCCCTGGCAGTGTTGAAGGGCAGGTTGGATGGGGCTTGGAGCAGCCTGGGCTGGTGGGAGGTGTCCCTGCCCATGCAGGGGGGTGGATCTAGATGAGCTTCAGGGTCCCTTCCAGCCCAAACCAGCCTGGGATTCTTCCTTCTGGGATTCTCTGATTCCTCCTGTGTCTAATCTCCAGTTTCCCTTTACATCTCACCCAAGCCCCAGGGGAGACAGGCAGGAGTTCTGCTTCCTCTGCTGCACATCCTGGCAAGGCTGATGCCTTAATCACATCTCTCTCCTAATGCCTCCAGAAGAAGTGACTCAGTGCCCTGTTGCCTGCCCACCTGAGACAGGAGGTACCAGGAGCTGCAACTGGGAGATGCTCTGACATCCCTACCAGACCAAACCCAACTTTCCCAGTCAACAGCCTGGCCAGAAAGGAGCCAGACAGACCCCCCTCCCCCTGCTGTCTGGCATTTAGCAGTAGGAAAGCAAATTAAGCCACCCAAATCATTTTATTGTGGGGTTGAGCAGATCAATCTCCAGCCATCCAGCCTGGCATCCTGGCACTGGATTTATCTCCTGGTCCCTGCTGAAATCAGCAGCCCAGCTGGTGCAGCAGGGCCAGGAGCCTTCACCTGCAGCAGCTCTTATCAGCCAGCTTATAAAAGCTCTGCTTATCACTCACTTGCTGTCCTGACCTTTTTTTTATTATTATTCTTATTCTTCCTTGGTTCTTGTAGCTCAGCTGAGCTTGTTGAGTTGCTGCTTCAACTAAAAAATGTGATTCAGGGCTTGCACAACAGCACCAAGCACCTCAAGCAGGACCCACTCAGATGCCAGAACCCACTCAGATTCCTCTGTGCTTGGGATTTCCTGCTCTCCTTCCCATTTCTCCCCCAACCTGGAAGGGACCTGAGGCAGCCAAAGAGGCACAGCCCCAAAACTGTGACTTTACCACACCAACTGTGCTCCCAACCACCCCCCTCAGCTGGGCTTTCAGGCTGCCCCCTCCCACCCCCCCAACTGC